CAGACTCCTCTCTGCCTGGCCAGCTCTCACCCGGGCTCTGCTCACGGGTCCTCAGAGGCTGGTGCTCAGTTCCAACGTCACCTTGGGAGAGGCCTTCCCTGGTTACACTAAAGTAACGTTCTCCTTCCTCCCCTATTCTGTGCTGCCACGTGTTTGCTGTCTGATTTTTTACCTACAGAGAAAGCCCCATGAGGGCAGGGACTGTGCCTGCCTTGTTTATTTCCTTCATCCCCAGAGCTTACAAGGGCGCCAGGCAGAGAAGACTCCCCTAATTATAGGCTGAACGAAAAAATTTTCCTGGTTTTCGTCTCTTTCCCTCCTGCACAGTGCTGGCAAAATTATCTTTCCAAAACAACAAATCCTGGACCAACTTGCAATGCCTGAAAACTTCTGTGGCTCTTAGTTGTGTATTGCTTGTGAAATTCCCACCTCTTCAGTTTGTATTCAGTGCCCTGCCCAACACCGGCCTAACCTCTTCTCCAAAATACCAGAGAGGCAGTGAATTTAAATGGTTAAGAGTGTGGGCTAAGATTCCAGCTCCACCACCTACTAATCTACCAAACAACTGACCTGAGACAGATTTGGGCCTTGGTTTTCTCACCTGTTAAATGGCGACAATAATAGAGCACCCAATCAAAGGGTTGTGGTGAGGATTAAGCTAGTTATTAGATCAAAAGTATTCAGAGTCATTCCTGGTACACAATAAAAAATGCTACTTTCTCCTGCCATAAGCCATGGACCTGAGTCACGTCAATCTGCTCCTTCTTCCCTAAACAAGCCATGCTTTTCACACTCCCCTGCCTTTTCCACATAGGCTGTTTTTTAAATCTACCACTGACTCACCATGACTGTATACGTTTATTAATGTGCAGTTCTTTACAGCAGAAACTGTAGCTTTAGTTCTTCATATGTTATGGTACGCTGATTCACTTGATAAATATTAAACCAGGATCATTACCTAAAATTAGTCATTTTAATAGTTTGTACTTCCATAAGAATGTTCAAGGTGGCCCTAAAGTTCATTTGGTTTTCTTTTTGTTTACTTAAATGCTGACTTCTAAGAATAACTGAAGGATTAGAAAGCTTTCTCCTCCCCAATTTTGCAGGCTCTCATCATCCACCTACTCCTTTCTCACCATCATTTATAACAATAATGCCATAAATACTGACCCCAGGGCAGTTAAAGTGATCCTTAAATACTGCATAAAATATAGGGGTTATTATTACTACTAGCAATACTGACAGATCTTGCCTCTGCCAGTAATTACTGGCAGGAACGTGTCCAATAACACGGAGACACTGTTTTCTCTGTGTCCCTCCCGACCCTGCCTGGGAGAAATGTTGAATTTCACAGGTTAGGGACAACATATTCTCTCTCTCAACTGGAACCAGGTGGAAAATAAATGTCTAAGTTGGAAATAAAAATACATTGGTGTGTAACTTGAAGTCTGGAATATTCTGAGGGCTTGGGAGGTTCAGGTAGTTTGCCCAAGGGATAGAATCTGATCAATTCAAGGATACTGGGTTCTCAGAAGCCTAAGAAAGGCAGGTAGAAAAGCTTGCCTTTCAACACATCGCCTGGGGCAAGTCTCATACCTATGAAGGACACATGCCTGCAGGGCCTAGATCCTTCCCCATGTGCACTCTCCTAGTATAGTTCCATCATATTATGGGCTAGGTAACCATTAATTATACTGTGTCCTGGCTGAGGAACAACCATCATATACAGTGTTGTTTCAATGGGAAAATATATCCCCAGTCTAAACAACTGGCTTACAGAAGACTTTTTGGAAAATGTCTCATTCATAAGGTAGGGACTACACAGTGTTGGAAGTAGTCCCCCTGGAGAGGATTGGCAAGTATTGTGTCCTAAGTTTTGCGGGAAAACAGAAGCCAACCTCTTTGAAATGAGTAATGCAGGCTACTTGGCCAAACTCTCAGATCCAAATCTGGGTTAAGCAATCACAAATAACAGGAAGCGGCAAGGTGAGGAATGGAAGTGACCGGAGGCTGAGGGGCTGGAGTCAGACACAGCGAGGTGCAAGACCCGGCTGTGGGGAGCAGCCCGCTTCCTCTGCCAGCTCGTCCCCCAACAGCCCAGGGCCGGCTCCTTGTCACTATTTCCACCTACACTCCGTATCACCACCTCAGACTGCCTTCCCGGGCTACCCACTGTGAGACAGCCTTACCCTCAGCCTGATACATTTTTTTCTCTTCATGGCACTTAGCGTGATCTCAAACTGCCTTATTGCTTCTTTACTGCCTGCCTCTCCCTAAAAGACCAGAAACTCCACGAGGAGTTTCACTCGCGTCACGCTTGCTAGTGTGCACCCAGGCCTAGCACAGTGTGTGCCACAGGGAAGACACACAACACAACACACATTTGTTGAACAAACAGGGCTGTAGTACGAGGACTCAGTAATGGAATAAAGGAATAAATGATCCATCCACCTACCTACACATCTATCTACCTACTTAATGACCTCCTTATCTGTGTCTGGAACAGCGTCTCTATACAGCAGCCCCTAATCAATATTACAGAAGAAGCGAAACAGAGGATGATACTGCTATGAATCAGCAAGTGTTTACTGAACAACAGGAGAAACCAGGAGCATAAGACACAGCCCTTCCAGGAGGCAGAGCAAAACTCAGCTCAAGACTGAGAGCAGCCTGAGTGCCGACTTAAAGTCTGCAAATAGGTGGGAGCAGTGATAAGATTCGATAAATGTCTTTAGTCAGTGTTCTGAATTTACAGAGAACTGGAATCCACCTAACACTATGCTGATCCTGACAACGTGGGCAGAGCAGAGAACGGCTCTGCATTTTCTCCCACAAAGTCGACAAAAGGCTTCTGGTCCCTGCTGTCTCACAGGGGAGCGTGGGGAGGGAGGTACCCAGAGTCCCTCCCCACATGTTCACCCTGGAGGCAGCCACGCCACGCTTGCTCCCCTGCCTTTGCCATGAGAAGCTGGAAGCAACCAAGACCAAGGTTATGCCATCTCCTTTCTCGGCCGTGTTGCAATGACAGCTGTGGTCACAGCACACACATTTTGGAAAAAAGACTGAAGAACAAGTCCTTTCAGGTCTCTTTCAGCATTGCGTTTCCATGAAATCTTATCTGTACAGGGATTCAGAAAATGAGTCAACTGCCTTTGCAATTTTTTTTTTTTTTTTGTGGTACGTGGGCCTCTCACTGTGTGGCTTCTCCCGTTGCGGAGCACAGGCTCCGGACGCTCAGGCTCAGCGGCCACGGCTCACGGGCCCAGCCGCTCCGCGGCATGTGGGATCTTCCCGGACTGGGGCACGAACCCGTGTCCCCTGCATCGGCAGGCGGACTCTCAACCACTGCGCCACCAGGGAAGCCCGCTTTGCAATTTTTTGAGTACAGAGTTCTTTGACTCATACTTAAAAGTTGGGAAAGACGATATTTATTTAAGATAGTGGTTTTCAAACTATTTTTTAGGTAGCAGGCTACTTTTCTGTAAACGGAGTTTTACATGGACCCTTAACACATTAAAAAGATCAGTGGGGTGCGGTGAGGGGTCAGGATCCGCCCTCTCAGCCTCCCCTGTGCCCTGATATCTCTGAGGAGCACAACTGGTTTAAGGGGAAAGGAAGTTAATATTTAGATAAATAAAGAGATGACTGGGGAAGGAGGGCAAGCTTTCTTTAACGTGAGGAAAGACGGAGTGGGCAAGTCTCCACTTTGTGCCCATCATAGTAAGGACTGGCTCAAGCAAGGACCATCAGTGGAAACTCACACTAGGAGGGCAAGTTTAGTAAGAAGCAGCGTATTTGCCTCACCTTCAAATGTCTCCCCAGAGTTCGCTTAGAAAGGAGAAAACGCTGCTTGTCAGGGCACCAACATCACTGGTCTGTAGACTTCAAATATGTGAATGTCATGCAAGACAAAGGAAGGCTGAGGAAACATTACAAATTAAAAGATAAAAGAGACATGGTGGGCTTCCCTGGTGACGCAGTGGTTGAGAGTCCGCCTGTCGATGCAGGGGAAACGGGTTCGTGCCCCGGTCCAGGAGGACCCCACATCCCGCAGAGTGGCTGGGCCCGTGAGCCATGGCCGCTGAGCCTGCGCATCAGGAGCCTGTGCTCCGCAACGGGAGAGGCCACAACAGTGAGAGGCCCGCGTACCACCAAAAAAAAAAAAAAAAAAGAGACATGGCATCGAAGTACAATATATGATCCTTGACTGGATCATGTACTTGAAGGAAAAAAACAGTATAAAGGACATTATTGGGACAACTGACAACATCTGGAATACAGATCAGCAATTTGACAGAAGTCCTGTATTGATGTTAAATTTCCTGAATTTGGTGACTGTACTGTGGTTATGTAAGAGAATGTCCTTGTTCTTAGGAAACACGTACTGAAGGATCTGGCCTAGAGGGGACGCGATATCTGTGACCTACTCTCTAGTAGTTCAGAAAAAATATATATAATATGGCGCATTTACACATACAGAGGGAGCAGTGGTTCTCAAAGTGGGATCCCTGGAGGAGCATCAGGCATCACCTGGAACTTGCTCGATATACAGATTCTCGGGCCCCAACCCAGACCTCACAAGTCAGCTGTCTTGTCTGTTCTAACAAGCCCTCCAGAGGATTCAGCTGCTCACTAGCTTTGGAAAACCACGGATACAAAATGATAAAACAAGTGTGGCGAAACATTTCTGGGGAAAGGGCACATGGCAGTTTTCTGGATCATTACTGAAACTTCTCTGTACCTTTGAAATTGTTTCAAAATAAAATTGAACAATAACAACAACAAAAAGGTGACCCTATGTAGAGAAATGGAAAGGAAGAGACCCTGGGGGCAAGGAGGCAAATCAAAGAACTCCTGCCTCCACCTTCAAAGAGGTGGTGGGATTCGAGCCTCGGCTGCTGCAGCTCCAGTGCAGGGCGAGGGGCGGGGTGTCTGGCCTGCACGGTCTTCCAACAGTGAATCTCCTTCCTGTAGAAAGTACAGGCATGAAACCTACTGACCTGAATATGAGAGTCTGGCAATCTCTATAAACAGGTCTTCCTCAGAAAAGCTTTCGGGGAGCATGAGGAAAGCAGCAGTCACGGCACTCTTCAGATTTTTATCCAGGGCCGACCTGAGAGCAACATTCTCATTCATTGCTACGATTTTCACCTGGAAAAAGCAGAACATTCAGAAGAAAAATTCCAGAAGTGGAGTACTGCCCAACCTATGTGTTTATACATACACTGGAACTGTCCTAAACACTTAGCCCTGAAGATCTTTGAGTATTAGGCCAGTTGACATGAAATATTTATTATTCTAATAAGCAATTCCGGAGTCTCCTGTTTTAAGCCCAAATCAGAGAACTCGTGACATAGGAAAGAAAAACAAATATTGTTCTTAAATGAGGAAATTCAACATGAGTTTTGAAAAAGAAGTCAGCACAAAATGGAATAAATGACCTTTGGGAAATTTAGTATTTTTTTATTTTTTAATCTCACTGTTCTTCACTTAATTTTATGGTGGAAAAAGGCATTTTACTTCTTTGTTTAGAACTCACCTCTGTTCTTAACCATACATAAGCTAAGCAGGTCATGCTCTATTTTGAACTGATTTTGAATGTGACTAAGGAAAAGGGAAAGAAAATTAGCTACAGTAGAATCTGCTGTCTTTGACTTCTCCCAATCCATCAAGATACAAATTGCTCCAGTGTGTTCAGATTGGTTTTAAAGACTGCACTGCAGTTCAGAGAATGTGTTCAAGTCCTAGCTCCATCTCTTACTAGCTCTTTGACTATGGGCATCATTCCTTATCAGTAAAACAGGGTTAATAACCGAACCAAGCTTATAAGGTTGCTGGGAAGATTAAATGAGATGTTTCATCTGAAGCCGCAGCTGAAGTGAGATTCCTTGTGTGTTTCTTGTTGCACACGCAAGCGTTTCTCTGAGCCAGGGGTTCTCACCTTTAGTAAGAGTCAGAATCTCCTGCAGGGCTTGTTAAAATACATATTATGGGACTTTCCTGGGGGCGCAGTAGTTAAGAATCTGCCTACCAATGCAAGGGACACGGGTTTGATCCCTGGTCCGGGAAGATCCCACATGCCACGGAGCAACTAAGCCTGTGTGCCACAAACACTGAGCCTGCGCTCCAGAGCCTGCATGCCGCAACTATTCAAGCCTGCGCGCCTAGAGCCCGTGCTCCACAACGAGAAGCCACCACAATGAGAGGCCTGTGCACCACAACTAGAGAAAGCCCATGCGCAGCAACAAAGACCCAACGCAGCCAAAAAAACCCCCCAAAACCCCACATATTATTACGCCCATCCTCCAGTGTTTCTGACTGAGTAGGCCTGGATGGGGCCTGACAATGTACATTTCTAACAGGTTCCCAGGTAACGTTGATGCTGCTGGCCCAGGGTCCACATTTTGAGAACCACTGCTCTAAGGTGTATAATTACTTTGAACTAAAATTGCCAAATCGCTCTTTGTAGCAATTGTGCCAATTTGCACTCCTGACATAATCTTAAACTATCATGTTGCTTCTGACTGATTTTCTCAACAAGTGAAGGATCTAGAAATCCCTAATAAGGACACCCATGTATCTGAAATGTAACCACCATCTCTAAATCATTTAGTGCTGTCACCACATCTTTCTCGTGTTCTAGAAAGTAGGGCTTAAATTGCCTTTTATTTATCAAATGTAGATAATTTCTGACAAAATTCAGATGGCACATAAAAGACACATACAGTATGAGAAACTCCAAACTAAAATTTTATTAGATAGCAAGGAAAGACAGGAATGATGTATATCCCCGAGTATAGTTTCTTCTCTAATTTTTTTTATTAATTGTGAAAAGCAATATTAGAAAACATAACTATTTTATAAATCTGGCTTAAGAACCTAAAATCTGTCTTTTACCTTTTGTCCCTACTTTTTTTTAAGGGAATATTTATAACGTACAAACCTCTCATGTGATAGGTAAGCCACTTAATTCCATACTACCGCCTCCTCCCTCATAATTACAAGGACTTAATGGCCCTGAACTAAGCCCTGCAGCACTTGGGTGAGTTCAGTATTATTGCAAACATCTGCATAGTCAGAGCAAGAAGCAGTCCAGGAGCAGATCTGCCCAAGGCTGCATAATGAGTTGATGGCAAAAATCAGGGTAACACCCTTGTACTTGGCAAATCCAGATCTAAATATTTTGAGTTATCCTCATGCATTCTGTTCTTGTTAACTTTTAATCTTGAAAGATGATTAAAACAAAAGTTAAGGTCCTATTAGAATTCCTATGTCTATTCCTTGAATAACGTTCCCGCCTTATACTCCATACAGAATCAAGGATCTAGGAGGGCAACCTCCTCATCTCACTAACGGGGAAACTGAGGCCCAGAGGGTTAAAAGATCTCCCCATGAGGAACAGTGGCACACCGTACCAGGACCCAGGATTCGTGAAGTGAGCCTGTTTACTTCCAAATTCCTATTTTCATCCTCATTCACCAGGTCCTGCTCAATAATTCCTCACCCTCTTTTGTGTGTGTGTGGGGGGGGGGAACTTTTTACAGAAACTCAATGAAAATAGAAGTTATTTTGAGATACTAACAAAGATGCAAAGGAAAAAGTTTGGGGAAATTTTCCTTTTCAATAAATACGCTTGTTCTCCAAGAAAGTGTCTACATGAGGTTGTTAAAAAAAAAAAAGGCAGTCTGTTTGCTACTCAAGGTTAAGAGAGTAAAAATAAAAGCATCCTTCCTCAAAGGAAAAATGTCAGTTCACAAGACTCTGCTACTGTGCTGATCTGGTTCTCCAGTGTAAGGTGAACTAGCAACTTGTCTCAGAAGCACTGTTATTTGTTGTTCAGAGTGAAAAGCCAGTGAACTCTTGGGACACTGCCAGAGAGGCCTGGGAAAAAAAGAAAGTCCTCAGATTTGTGAATAGCTGTTTGTATCTTACTGGGAATGCCCCGAACTGAACCACAGATATAGCATTAGCACTACTGCCAAGGGGAAAATCTTTACTGGAGAGAGGAAGGGGCAACACTTGAAGGGACTTTCAAAAGCTCAACTTGAGAGATTTGTGAGTACCTTTCAAGATAGAAAAAAAGAGAAAGTCACATGTGGTCTCCTCTATAATAGTCACATGGAGACAGAGCTTGAATTGCAAAGAGTGAAGTTATAGTCACAAAGAACACAGTCCTACCTCGTGTTCAAATACTCGACCATTAACCAAATGACACTTCCCGCAGTAGTTTTCCATTCCAAATGAACAGAAAGGCTAATTTTTGCTGGAGGACCAAAAAGAAACAGTGAACATTTGAGCTGAATTAAAAAAAACCTTATCATCTACCTGTTGGATTATGGGCTCTTGAGGCTAGCAATGTGGTGATTTTTTTAAAAAAAATTCTTTTGGCATGCACAGAGAAAAAAACTTAGTTGTCTTTTGAATAAGTAAATGAATGGCTTAATCTTTTCATTTCCAAGGCTAGAAGTCCAAAGATTTGCTCTCAGCTGGGCAGAGTCAAGACTAGTAAGCTGGGCTTTCCAAGTCCCATTCAGGGACCTTTTATACCACTGGGATTTTACTATCTACAAAAAAGTAAATCAACAAAGTTACAATATGGTGATGCTTGCAAACTGTGAATATACTAACAACCACTGAATTGTACACTTTAAAGGGCTGAATTATATGGTATGTGATTATATCTCAGTAAACCTGTTATAAAAAGCTATATGACTAGCAAGTAAAAGTATATTGGAATGAATACATTAAAATAAATTAAAATCCTTTTAACAAGGTGGCAAAATACCATTGTTTGCCAATGTGAATGCTTTAAAAATTCAAGCCATGTTATCTATACATGAAATACAAAACAACATGAAATACAAAAATCCAACTTACATTAAATAAATTAGAGAAGTAAAAATACTACTTTAGACTTCTTCTGACTTAAAAAAAGATTGGCCACAACAAGGTTCTATTAAATACTTTTCATGTTTCTTAACTTGGAAAACTGATTGGTAAATAACTCAAACTTAAAGCTGCACTAGAAGTAAAAATGGGTTATCTCCTCAATTATGAGGTAAGGTAATGGTAAAGTCTGATAGAAAATTAATTTGCACTCAACTTTTTCCAGAAATGTCCATCTTTTTAAGCCAAGTACTCCTTTATATATTTTTTTGATAGTAAACTTTATGTTTTAGAGCAGGTTAACATCCACAGCAAAACCAAATGGAAAGTAGAGAGAGCTCCCATATAGCCTCTGCATATTCCTAAGACTTAAATTGCTAGTGACTGAGAAATTCTACTCTATTCGCAATATGGAAGATAATTTTAGAGCTTTAGACAATATAATTTAATGTAACTCGTTTTAAAACACATAAAAACAAAAAATTCACACTCATTCTCACAATTCTTTCTTAAGATAGTCACCCATTATTTTTGTCCAAAATGCTACCAACCCTTTCTTTTCATCGGATTTGTTTCATCGCGTTTGATTAATATTTGCTGCCACCTAGAGGTAAAAACAGTTACTTTAAAGATAGTTATCCTAAGAATTCTCCAGTTAACCGTGATTTCTGCGGGAAAGGGAAACTGGAGGCAGGTGTGGGTGGAAGAGTTAATTCACCCATTTATGATTTTTGATTTTTTAAAATCGTGTCATGTTAACACCTCAAATGGTTTTTAAGATTGGTTAATTTTCTTGTGCTAGAAGCTTCTTAATAAGTCGGAGGGGTAGTCACTGTTATAAAGAACATTTTCTTCTCCAAGTTAGCTGAGAAATGCAGTTTTGTATGATCTGAGTGTAGCTGTCACTACTTGCCTTGAATTGATGTTTTTATTTTTTTAGGATACATGACATTTAGATGAAATGTGAGGTCATTTCCAGTGCTTACATTCTGAGATTTCATGGCATTATAGTTTTCTACAGCCTATTTCTAAAAACACTTGAACTATTCCAAGCACAAAACATAGTACAGAGAATAATATCACATTCAATATCTCATTTTATCTCAAAATAACTCTGAGACAGGCGAGGACAGAGAGAAGAGAAAGATCGTTTCATGAGTGTCTAGTAGATGCCAGACATTTTAGATCTAGGCATTTATTTCTCAAACACCTTTTGAGGTCGGTGTCACTGGCCTTGTCCCCAGGTGAGGGTGTCACAAGGCCCAGGGAGATTAAGTCACTGGTGCAGGGTCACACAGCTGGGGAGTGTCAGAGCTGGGACTCAAACCCCAGATCTGTCTGATTCTAAAACACCTGTGTCCTTTCCAGCATTACATTCTGCTTCCAATTTTCAACACCTTTGTGAAGTAGGCAGGGCAAGGATTGCTACTCCCATTCTACAGAGAAACTACCTGAGGTTCAGAAAGGTAAAACAACTTGCCTAAGATCACATAAACAGCTAATAAGTAGCAGGAATGAATAAGGCCCAAGGCTTCTAATTCCACGTTTATTAATCCTCCCATCAAACTACATATTTTGTATATTTAAAAAGAAACTTGGAAAGAAAAGGAATATTTACAAATTTCCAACTACATTTATTTGCTTAATTATGAGGCTTACTAGTTATCCGGCCTAGAAATGAGAAATTCATCTACATAAATATGAAATTAAATCAGTAACCTATTGTTTCCAGACTTAAAATGTGTTTTTAGTGAAGTAAAAATTATATACTGTACAGTAAAGCAAAGAAATCTAATCAGCACAGCTTGACAAATTTTTACACATGGATGTACCCATGTAACTATTACCCTGATCAAATGTTTCTGTATGTCTTAATGACCTACACTGTTAAATTTTAAGCCCAGATACAAGGCAAGAGAATCTGAACCTCCCACATATATCAACAGAGATTTTATGACACAACCAAGCAAGCTAGGACTGTATAAATTTCTCTAATTTCTTGCCATAGCTGACAAAAAAGGAGCACCATAGTCACCCATGAGAGGCATTTGGGAATAATTCCTGAACCCTCTTTGGGACCTAAGACCCTCTGACAGCACAGAGAAAATTCTTCCTTGCTGGGAGATTAGCAACTGTCTAGTTATCCTAAGAATTCTCCAGTTAGCCGTGATTTCTGCGGGAAAGGGAAACTGGAGGCAGTCGCAGACAACTGCGACTAGTTCTTTTTTTTTTTTAATTTTATTTTTTAAATTTTTTTGGCTGCACTGGGTCTTAGTTGTAGCACGTGGGATCCTCACTGTGGCATGCAGGATCTTTCATTGCAGTGTGCAGGCTTCTCTCTAGTTGTGGCATGCGGGCTCCAGAGCGTGTGGACTCTGTAGTTTGCAGCACGCAGGCTCTCTTGTTGAGGCACGCAAGCTCAAAAGTTGTGGCACGTGGGCTTAGTTGCCCTGCGGCATGTGGGATCTTAGTTCCCCGATCAGGGATCGAACCTGAGTCCCCTTCATTGGAAGGCGAATTCTTTACCACTGGACCACGAGGGAAGTCCTCAAATAGTTCTTAAACTACAAAAATACCCCTTCTCAGAAAACAGACTATACAACTGCAAAAAAGAGGAAACCTGATATTTGTGAATGCGAGTCAAAAGTTCAAGTCCTCTCGACTTTTTTCCTGTTTTCTGTTTGTTTCCATTTCTAGTAAAGCCGGAGAAGCCTGCCCCTACAGCCTCCTCCAGCAACGTCCCAAATGAGGGTAGGGCCTGAGGAGGAGAATAGAGGGGAACAGAGTCCACTAGCCTCAGAATGATGACCTGTCTCATTCATTTATTCAACAAATATTTGCTGAATGCGTACTACATGCCAGGCATCGTCCCAGGCACTGTTGGGACAAATCACTGGACAAACAGTGCCCCACGGCACTTGCATTCCAGAAGAGGTGGCGATCTGGGGAGGCCGACCGAGGCTCCACCAAGGCACTGGACACCTCTTCTGCCATCCTCCCCAGCCAAACGGACTGACTCTGAACCTGATCCATTCAGACAACTGGAGAATCTTGAGAGGGAGGGAGCAGTGTGGGTAATATCTGGATACTGTCTGGCAACAAATTCTGTAGGGAGGGAAAGGAGTGTGAAACTCATTTCTACGTCATTGCAATCACAAAGGTCAAAGTAAGGTGAGGTTCAGAGAGGAGAGACATCCCTAATAAAACACTCTCTCACCGGTTTTTGGAGTCGTCCAGCAATGTATAAGTTATTCCAGTTGAGGAGGTCTTCAATCAAAACACTAGTGCTAATAATGCCATATTTGATAAGCTGGAAAAGAAAAGAAATGGGCATGAAAAATAGCAAAATACCACACTGGTGCTTATGCAAGTACAAAACACAAAGAAATAAAATGAATTTCTGACCAGAGCAGAAGCTCGATGTCCAAAGCCACTCAAACTGCCTACCTTGTAAAAATACACATCTCCACAAAACCTTTTGCAAAGGATTAGTTTCCAAGACTGTGTGTTTCCTCAGGTATTCGAGGTGAAGTGACCACTGTTTTAACTCAGGCCTTCACCACAGACACTTCAAGAAGTGATAACATAGTTCGCGTTTCTCATTTGAGAAATAAGAAACCTGAAGCTCGGAGAGAATAAATGATGTGCCCAAGATGGCACCACATATAGCAGAGTTAAACTAGTCCCTGAATTTCAGTCTGGGCTTCCAGTGTTTGCTTCACGACAAAGCACAAGAAATTTTCTTTAACGTTTTCACTGACATCCTTTACATGCTGAATTTCTCTTTCACTATAGGCTATTTCAAACACTTTTATAATCACAAAGCAACAGTCAAAAATAAAACCTCTTTATCAGCGCTGAACACATGGAATTATGGTCAAGCTCATTTCAATAGTAATTCACACAAACCCTGAATGCAGTTGTTCCAGGTTATGAAATCCCATTTGCTTCAACAAGTATCTTCAGACCCACTTCACTGAACTTCAGTACCCAAACAGCCTTCACAGGCTGCAAATATCTAAAAAGTAGCTAAAGACTTTCAATTAAAAAGTACAGTCCCCTTGGCACATAATTATGCCCAAACATTGGGTTACTGGAGCTTGTAATATGATTTGAAACTACTAATTACAGATCAGCTCAGCATAATATTAATATGGAGAAAGAACACAGCTACGCGACTGGCAGGACTAGAGTGGATGTGCAACGTTGCGCTGAATAACCTTCTTCCCTCCACTCTGGCCACAGTACTGCAGACAGCCCTTCCTGCTGCAGGCGCGTGACAGCTGAGAGGTAATGGGAGCATCACAGGGGCCTGTCACTAGCTAGCTGCAAGACCTTAGGGAGGTCACTGCCTCTCTCTGAACCTTGGTTTCCTCATCTGCGAACCACAGGTGGTGTCGGGTGGGACCTTAACCAGAAAAGTAAATGTATGGCCCAAAGACGTCACCAATCAGCCACAGCGCTCATTCCCGCCACGTTCAGATAGGTCTTCAAAATCCTTCTCAAGTCAGTACTCCAACCTCCTGCCCTTCAGAGTGTGGTCCATTGACCAGTAGCACCAGCATCACCAGATGCAGAATACCAGGCTCCATTCCAGACCAAATGAATCAGAATCTGCATTTCAAAAGGAGCCTCAGGTGACTCGTCTGCACATCAAAGGATGACTGCTCTAAGCCATCAGCAGCATGGAGCAAGGCTGGCACAGCAGCCACCCTCAGCCCAGCTGGCCTCTAGGAGGCATCTGACTCAGTTCCCCATTGGTCCTCTCAGACTGGGGTCCTGCCTAGTTCCAGGAAGCCCTTTTAGAGCCTGGGCCCTCCATATGAAAGACGGCTGGGCAGGGTTCCTGCTGTCACACAACCCTCTGCTGGGATCGGGGTTCTCACCTGCTCTCCAATACCCCTCATCAAATTCCACCCATCCGATGGCAACAAGAGGCACCATATGCTCCCATCTACCTATGAAACCCTCTCCTATGATACCCTCTCCACTTCCAACTTCTTTCTGGGAGTGTCTGCCCCTCTGTATGTAGATAAGATTAATTTCCACCCTGATCCACAGTGGGTCCGCCTATTCCTCCCACTGCCCAAACCAGTGGCTCTCAAAGTTTGTTTCAGACCAGTAGCGTGAACAACATTTGAAAGCTTGTTAGAAATGCAAATCTTTGTTGCTAAGAGAGTAAACCTTAAAAGTTCTCATCACCAGAAAAAAAAAAACAATTGTAAATACATGTGGTGATGGATGTTACCTAGACTTACCGTGGGTAATCATCTCACTATATATATATATATATATATATATATATCTCAAATCATTACGTTGCACACCTAAAACTACTACAATGTTATATGACAATTACCGCTCAGTTTTTAAAAAATGCAAATCCTCAAACCCTTACCCCAGACCTACTGAATCAGGAACTCTGGGGGTGGGAACCAGCAATCTGTGTGTCCTACAGGCACTCCAGGTGATTTTGATGCACACTAAAATTTGAGAACCAAAAAAATCTGGCCAAAGGCAAAAAATAAAAACAGTCACATTCACCACCTTCATCCAGCAAAAGTGTGAACATTTCCTAACTGTAAGAACACATCTATTTAGCTGGTATTCTATTAACAAAGGTTAATAACCACCCAAGTTAAGACAAAGGCCCGCAGTCACTTACCCTCCCATCACACATGATCAATGGGTTGTAGTAAACCCCGGCGCCGTAGTTATTCTGGACAGTGGTGATAAACCTGGGCCCCAAAACTTTTAGGAACGAGTAATGGTTCCAATTTTTCTTCAGGTTTTTTGAATGCCATGCAACAGGGTCATCGACTGTGAACACGAAGTCCAGCATGGCATTCTGGGAGGTGAAGAAAAGAGAATAATTTTAGTTTTAATTCCTAGAAAGGCACCTAGGCAGAGTGGAAAGCTCTAAGACTCTATGCTGCTGTGATTAACAGCAGACCCAGGGCTGTCATCAGAAACTTAAGCAAGTCTCTGGCTCTGGAACCAATCTGAGCTTCGTTTTTGTCAACTCACATAATAACAGTAACACTTACTGAAGTGATGTTCCAGACCTCTTTTAAACACTTTATATATTATACATATAGTAACCCTTTTTAGCCTCAAAACAATCCTACAAGGTAGGTACTGTCATTATCCCATTTTTATAGGAAAGGAAAACCAAGGCACAGAGTAAGTTCCTTGCCCAAGGACACATGGCTACTGAGTGACAGACATAATCTGGTTCCAAATTCTGTGCTGGACCACTTGGCCACACTGTCTTTCATCTAAATCTAGTTAAACGTGCTCTACTTTTCTCCCAGATCAAATAACACCATACGGACAAGCTCTATAAAGCGTTATGTAAAGGGAAATAAGTTGTTTTAACTCTCACCCATTTGCCAACCCTTCACTGAGCACCTACGATGAGCTCTGATAGGTCCTGGGATAGAGGTAAAGACCTCAAAGTCTACTGGGGAGAATAGACAGGTTGCTAGCAAAAACTTGGTAGGAGAACACAAAATGCACTAACTTCACTCAGAGTGGGGTCAGAGAAGAAGGAGGAATTTTCCTACAGGTTTATATTCTTCCAGACTCTGATAAGTCTGAGTCTTAAAAGAATGTGCAAGAGTTCAGCAGGCTTGGTGAAGTACTAGGAGGCCTGAGGAAGGGAGGGAGTACTGTTAGAGGAAAACACTCTTGTGGAGATGAGAGCCGGTAGGACTGGAATGCGACACAGGCAGGGGAGTGACCAGAGAGGGAGGCTGGTTACCATGCTAATGTTCCTGCAGTAGAAAGGGAGGAGGAGAGACTAAAGGATGGAACACCACACGAGGCTAACTGCCACTAAGGCACTGAGGGCAGGGGCTCATCTGGGAGAGACTTAGGTGCTGGAGTTTACTTGTTAACTTCTAGGGAATGAGGGTGAGGGAAAATGAAGGACCTTTTCTTGGAGGGAATTCCAGGTCTGCTCAAAGGAAAATCTACACAGGAAAATGAAGAGGCGGCTATAGAATCAGGAGGCCAAGGCCTGTTCTGAGTTTCCCACAGTGTGATCCACAAACCAGTGGTGATACTTAAGATTTCGGGTGGACACGTTTTTTAAAAATTTATGTTCATGTATGTTACAAGAAAGTAACTAGCCTATTGCAAACTACAATTAGGTTGCCCAACCTATATGCCCCAAATCTGTAATTTCTCATATGCTCTCAATTTAAAGAAAACTATTACTTAAATACTAGTATAGGTGGGAAACAGGAAATCTAAGCAATGGTACAGATGGCCTCACCAGGAAGCGAAGAGATGAAGGTTAACTGAAAGACAGATTACAGCCAGGTGTCCAAATCCACGAGGCCCTATTGCAAACTGCACACTACCATTTCCTTCATTTATTAAAGAAACCCAGTCCAGAGCACGAGTTGCACAGACAGAAAACATCTCCATCTGGACTCCCGCTCCTTTTACATTAATTCAGCAAGAGCTCAAAAGCTCAATTAAAAGCCTCATTTAAATGGAAAGTCAATTAAAAGCCTCATTTAAATGGAAAATACCTGCCTGCCACTTGTCTGCTATGTCTTGAATCTTGTCGCAACCTTGGAAGCAAAGTTTTCTTTCCATTTGCAGAGGGAAAACAAAACAAAACAAAACTGCAATCACAAGGAAAACTGTACCCTCACTACTGCTGTGCTCAGCCAACTCTGAAGAGCACAAGGCGTAGCCTTAAACAGACTCCTGTTACGTGTCCTGAGCAGGGGCAAATATACCGCTCATCACTGACTTCTGCGGTCAGTTAACGTCACTGCACATGCCCTGACCCTACAATCACTCCGTCAGCTTCCCAAAGTCAGGAGAATCATTTCGTTATTTTCTCCTACAACCAGAGACGTGATTCTCAAGCTTGGCTGCGTAGTAGAATCACCTGGGAAGTTTTTAGAATTCCTGAAGCCCAGGCTCATCTCAGACCAATTAAATCTCAATCTCCGCAGTTGGAACCCAGATATCAGTATTTTTTTAAGCTTCCCAGAAAACTCCAATGTTCAGCCAACGCTGGGAACACTGAACTAGCTCCTGGCAAATATTTCTCTTCCTTTCTTCCATCTTGTCCCCGCATCAGCTCCTCCCTCCGCATGACTGCACCTCCCGCTCTAGACCTAAGCTGACGCCTACGTATCCTTCAAAACTCAGCTGACGCTGTCGTTCTACTAGGAGCACTTTTGTACGGCTTGTACTTTGCCAGTTGATACGTGGAGTGCGCAGAGCAAACAGGTAGCTCTACGGCTCTGGAGGGACCGAAGGCAAAGGGAACTCGTGAGAACATTCCCGGCGTGGGGCCGACCCGGGCTCACCTTCTGGTCTGAGCTGGGCCCCGCCTGGCGGTACACCCCCGAGCCGTAGGCGAAAGCCAGGCTCAACTCCTCGGGGAAGTGACACAGGATCTTGCGAAAGGCCACCCCCGAGCTCTGCAAAGCCTGCAGAGCCATGGGGCCGGGGCTCTGACAGGGACCCGTGGAGGGCAGCAGGCGGGGAACGGGTACCCGCTGAGGGTGGGAGATGGAAGCCGGGGACCGGCCCAGACGGGAGAAGGCTGGAGCCGGGGGCGGGGAGTGGAAGACCCGGCAAGGACTCGGGGCTGCAGACCAGTCAGACACGAGGCTGGTACGAGCCCAACAGGAAACCGGGCAGGTCTCGGCCTGGCCGGTCTAGCGCCCACCCTGGGCCACGCCTCCTGCACGCACACGTGCTCCGAAGGCGCAAGAGTAAGAGCAGGCGCGCGCTCGCTCGCGAGCGGGGACGCGAGGCCTTCGCAGAGGTCCCTGGTGGTCGGAGGACCGCACTGCAGGCTGGCAGCCTGGGACAGTGACCTGGACATGAGTGGGGGAAAGTAACAGCTGATTGAACTGCTTTTGAACCTTAAAAGTTCTCTTTTGGTCTCGCCTCAAACCACATTTTAATAAGTGACTAGGAAATCATGCATGTGGTATTGCAGCTTCCTATCATCTTTCTGATGAGGTGAAATTCATATAACCTAAAATTGTACGCTTTACAATTCAGTGGCATTTACTGCATTCGCAACGTGTGTAACCATGTCTCTATGCAGCTCGAAAACTGCAGAAGATTTTGAAGGTTTAGGAAAACACAAATAAGATTCAAATCACCCCCAATCCCACCACCCAGAGATTATTACTTGTAAGAGTTTGCTGTGCCTTCTTGCCATTAAAGCCCTTTTCAGATCCGATAATGGGTATGAAAGTGTTCCATAAATGGTAAAAGCAAAAACAACAACAACAACAAAAAGCCTGCACCAAGGTTCTCTGATATTCGTATTTAATTTTAAGCATGGGGAGGAGTATTTGCCCCTTCGTTTTGTGGACTGGGCTCACAAAAGGGCACATTAAATGCAGTTTCTGGTGGAAACGGGACCCCAGGTGAAGAGCTCAGCTCTTTGTGTATAACTAGAGAAACTTGCTCCAAGTCACAGGGCCATTCAGGATGTAGTCTGAGTCCCCAGACAGAGACTTTTCAGATACTCTTCCCTTCTTCCCTGATGCTCATGTCCTCTCAACAATAACAGAAGTAGTAAGAGCTAAATTTGGGTAACGGTGATGCACTCACATGCATTTTTCACTGAGTTCCCTCTACTGCCTTGTGGGAGGATGTGATTGCCTTCATTTTACAGATGAAGCAGCTAAGCGTTAGAGAAAGCATCGTGCTTGGGATCACATCAGCTTGTGGCAAAACTGGAATGAAGAATCTGGCTCCATGTCCTACGACTCCACTCGGTCCTTGAAGGGTTTTGAGCAGGGACTTGTCGGGCTTAAACGTTAGCCTGGATCAGAGTGGGGAAAGAGAGGCAGGGAGACCAGTTAGGAAGCTGTTACCATAGTTTCATTGTGAATTAAGTTGCCTGGCCTGGGGTGATAGAGGCAGGGATGGGATTAATTCAATTTGAAAAATGATTATTGGAATTCAAACTCTGAGGTAAGTCAAGATGACTAGGAATGAAGCTTTGCAGGCACTCAGGGTCTATGGAGGAAACAAACAAGCAAACCCAGAATATAACATGCGGTGGTGAAGCTGGGTACCCAGTGCCCTGCAGGACCTACGATGAGGGAGCATCCATCAGTTCTGGATGTGCAGGGAGAGACCAGAGGAGATTTTGCAGTGATGGCATTTGAGCCAGGCCTTAAAGGATGGGTAGGAGATTATCAAGCAGAAGACAGATGGGAGATTCTATCAAGGAAGGATCGATCAATAGGACAATAATAATAGGTGACAATTGTTTATTTTCTATTCCAAGCATTCTCTATACTTATCTATTCTCTTCATTCCAAAGACCCCTGAGGCAGGTTCTCTTAGACTATCATCTTTCACAAGAGGAAACAGACCACCTAAGAGGAGAAGCAGATTTCCCCAGTCCCACAGTTAGGAGCGCGGCGAAGTCAGGATCTGAACCCAGGGCTCCTGAGCTCCAAAGGCCGAGCTCTTTACCACCTTTTTTCAGAGCCTTCTAAAGTGGGCAGCTTGTGGGCTTCCCTGGTGGCGCAGTGGCTGAGAGTCCTCCTGCCGATGCAGGGGACGCGGGTTCGTGCCCCAATCCGGGAAGATCCCACATGTCGCGGAGCGGCTGGGCCCGTGAGCTATGGCCGCTGAGCCTGCGTGTCCAGAGCCTGTGCTCCGCGACGGGAGAGGCCACAGCAGTGAGAGGCCCGCGTACCGCAAAAAAAAAAAAAGAAAAAGAAAAAGAAATAAAGTGGGCAGCTTCTGAGGCAAGGGAAGGGAATGGGAAACCAGCTGGTTTTACTCCATCAACCAAGGTTGAGGAGCAGCTGCCATGGCCACCACAAGGCCAGAAAAAGGACGGCAGAAGGGAGACACAGTGCAGCTCAGTCTCCTCCTGGGAACACAGGCATTTTGGTTCATTCTGACTAAACACTACTCTTGCCCAGATGGCCAGAATCTGAGATGCACTCACCGTGGAATTACACTGACACCTTTCACCTAAAGATAGTGAATAAAATGTCTGCCGGCATACTTCTTTTCTTTTTTTTTCTTTCTTCCCTTGAGGAAATAATTCAGCATTTTTCCCCCCTCTTTGCAAAAGTAATCCATACTCACAAAAATGTAAACATTACAAAAATCTGGATACCATCCCCCAGAGATCGCCACTGGTAATCTTTGGTACATATTCCTCAACATAACTTTCTATGAATATATTAACATTAAAAACATTTTAAAATGGAAGCACATGATAGATACTCTTTTGCAATTTGCTTTTTTTCATTTAAAATATCACGGACACCTTTCCATATCAGAATATATAGATCTACCTCATTCCATTTATTAGCAAAATTTTCTAAAATATGGATATGCCATCCTTTGTTTAAACATTTTCATGTTGATGGATATAGATTATTGCCATTTTTTTGTACATGCAAACAATGCTACAGTGAACGTCCTTTTACATAGAGCTTTGGAATGTATGCAAGTATTGCTAAAAAGGAGATTCCTAGAAGGGGACTTGCTGGGTCAAAGTGTCAGGACATTGCTAAAGTCCCCTCCAAAAAATTGTACCAATTGTTCCACTCCCACCAATGGAGTTCAGCCCTGGATATAAATAAAGATTCTGCAACGTTTCTCTGTTTTTTTCCCTTGCAGGCTTTCACACGTAATTATCAGTAATTTTCGTTTTCATAAACACTTTCCTTCCTGATAATGCAAAAGCACCAACTGGAAAGTTCCATCACGTTCCTATGTGCATTTCGCCTCTCCCCAGAAAGAGGCAGAAGCAATGTAGCAAGAACACATTTGTATTCTTCATCAGAATTCTCCCTGCTCCTAGCAGCTCATCCACTTCCTTTTAAATTACCGTGGCTTGCTAAGTTAGAAGCTATTAAAAAGCTCCAGTGTTCTATATAATCGCTTTAGGGTTCTATTGGAACTCTCATACCAATGAAATAAAAGCATTAGAGAGTCATTTTAAAATATAGATAAATGCCACTTGACTGCATGTTGCATCTCATTTTTCTGATTTATCCCGCTGTTGGCTTTGTGCTCCTTAACAATGACCAAGTCAGGCTAGGTTTCACCAGGAGGATGTTCACCTATTCCATTTTCTAAAAAACCCTGTGAAATCTCTAAAACTTCTATGCCTCAGTTTTTCTTCTAATCAGCGTTTAAGTAAAAGACATAAAGTGTTTGGGAAAAGAAACTTCAGGTGCTGTGATCCTTACAATTAACCAAATTTTCAGTTGACCTGCTAACGGACGTAAAGGAGAAAAGTCTTGATCTGTCTCATCAGAGGTGGGTCACCTGCCACATCTGTCCATTCTCAGCTGACGGATGTGTCAAAACTGGGCCAGATCGAGAGCATCTTTAATACATTTTTAGTCTCTCATCGGGGCGCTGAGAGACCACCTGAGTTTGAATCAGGGCCCCAGGAGTTAATAGCTGTGTGACCTTGAGCAAGACAGCTGAAGATCTCTGTGTCTTCTGTTCCTCATTTGTAGGATGGTCATGCAAATAACCTACCTTTTAGCGTCGTTGGGACAGCCAATGAAATAGTATCCAGAAAGTGCCTGCCACAGAGCAAGCTCTCAGTAAATGTTCTCCGTCGTGTTGGATTCTGAAGAGACAATGTACGAGAGGAATTAAGAAGCATAAGAATACCTAATATCTTTATGGCACTTAGCATTTCGCACAAAGAACTTTTCCAGACATGGTTTTATTTAATTCTTAAAACAAACCCTGCGAAATTAGTGTTTACTAGTCCAATTTTACAGATGGATAAATTGAAGTGTAGAATAATGAAGTCATTGCTTGAAGTCCCAATAGAGTGCCAAATCTAATTCTTTTCCTCTTGTACCATAAAAATAACACAAACCGTTTATTTTCCCAAGGGATTCATTCATTCATTCATTCTCCCACTGAAATCTTCCTCTTCCTCCATTCAAATATCACCCCCTTCTAATCAGAAGTAACTGTTCTGTCCTCCATGCCCACATGTAACCCTTTGCTTATAGCTCTACAGCCCTGGTCTTAAATACGCAATGTGTCCATCAAGAACAGTTATAAAAGGCTTGGGGACTCTCCGAGGTCAGGGGCCATATCTTATTCATATTTCTATCCTTTAGTACCTAGCACAGTGCCTGAAACAAAATTTCTGCAATTGAGAACGTCATAGACATGTATACAAACCAATTACAGTAAAATACAGAGATGGTCTGTACCATACCTGTGGTAAGACAGCTCTTCAAGGATTCTGGGAAAGCTTCTTGACACTGTGTTTTCCAAGGAAGCTCTGGAAGATCACACTCTTACAGTACTAAAGAAATGAATGAATAATAGTAGAATTTCAGGGAACAGAACAGGTGTCTCATCTGAGAGGTAGTATAATACAGTGGTCAAGACTATGGAGCCTGGATCCAGACTGCCTGGTTTGAATCCTAGCTCAGCCACATATTATCTGTGTGACCTTGGGCAAGTAGCTCTGTGCCTCAGTTTTCACATGTATAAAATGGGGATAATAGTAGTGCTTACTTCACTGGGTTGTCACAATGACTAAACTCGTTAACATACATAAACTGCTTAGAAAAATACTTGACATGTAGTGACTACTATGTATGCCTTTGCCATTATTACCATCATCATATAGTGTCCCTGAATTTCAAGCAAGTCAGCAACTGTCTACTTTATCTCTTCGTAAAAC